GGCCAGCCTGGGCTACCAAGTGAGTCCCAGGAAAAGGCGCAAAGCTACACAGAGAAACCCTGTCTCGAAAAAACCAAAAAAAAAAAAAATCGACCTGATGCTAAATTGAAGAGCTTTGGATTAATGGTACTGGCAGAGGAGATTTCAAGACAGCCTAGTATTGACTGTTACATGGTTATTAGTGGTCACTCTTATGCAGATCTATAATGAAAAGGAGCAAGCTGAACAAGGAAATGTACCAAATGTACAGTTTGAGGAGAAAAGGAGCACCAGGAAATGTAATGGAACTAAGTCCAGTGCTCAAGGAGATTGTGGTAGTTTGAATAAAAATGTACCCCCACATAAGTTCCTAGGGAGTGGCACTATTAGGATGTGTGGCCTTACTGGAATAGATATGGCTTGGTTGGAGGAAGTGTGTCACTAGGGGGCAGGCTTTGAGATTTCAAAAGTCCAAGCCAGGCCAAGTGGCTCTCTTCCTGCTGCCTCCAGATTCAGATATAGAGTTCTCAGCTACTTTGCCAGCACCATGTCTGCCTGTGTGCTACCATGTTTCCTGCCATGACCATGACAATAATGGAGTAAACCTCTGAAAATGTAAGCAGGCTCCAAATAAAATGATTTCTTTATAATAGTTGCTGTGGTTATGGTATCCCTTCAGAACAATAGAACAGTGACCAAGACTTGTGTACCCTTTATAACACACACAATATGAGAAAATACATTTTATTTTTATTATGTTTTTCCTTTAACTTTATATATTTTACATGGGTGTTTTGCCTGTACCATGTGTATACCTGGTGTCTTCAGAGGGGATCAGATCCCCTGGAACTAGAATTATGTATGGCTGTAGAAACTCTTATTAAATGAAATTAATCAGGTTTCCTAAGACAATCATCATGTTTCATTCATTATTGCAACCTAGGTTTTACACACACACACATACACATTCACATACACACACATATACAGAGGTAGGACTACTTGGAAAGGAAAAGACCTACTAGAAGGAAGAAGGAGGAAAAGGGAAGATATGGATGTTAATATAGTCAAATTACATGTTACATGTGAACAAATATTCATAACACCCATTGTATTTTACACCAAATATACACTAATAAAACACTTTCTTTTGAGACAGTCTCTTCTGTGCACTGTGTTGCTGAGTATGACCTTGGACTTCTGATCCTCTTCCTTTCTTTTCCCAAGTGCTGGAATTATGGGTGTGTATCACCAAATACAGTATATACCATGCTGGAGATGAAACCCAGGCAAGCAGTCTACCAATTGAGCTAAATCCCTGGCTCCACTAATCAAAGACTTCTAGGAAGTACATTAGAGGGCCTTCAAGATGGCTCAGTGGGCAAAGGTACTTGTCACCAAGCCCACACAACCTTAGTTCAATTCCCAGGAAGGTGATTACATATTTTTAGGTGAACTAAAAAAGTTTCCCATTATATGCTGGACATAGTGGCATATGTCTTTAATCCTGGCACTTGTAAGGCAGATGCAGGTGGATCTTTGTGAATTTAAGGACAGCCTGAACTACCTAGTGAGTTGCAGGACAGCCAGGAGTACATAGAGAGACCCTGTCTCTAAAAAATAGTTTCCGTTATAGATGTGATTGATTTGTAGCATACCACCACTTATATTCACACATTTGAGTATTTTAAGGTATTAGTAATGCAAAATATTAAAAAAATTATTTATACTGACAATACAATATGTATTAATGAAATTGAAACAGTTCCCACTTGGTTTCTGCTAACTTTCTATATCATACCCCAGTATCCATTCCTTTTTTTTGAGTTACAGTAAACCTTTTAAAACTTTCCCTTAATTCTTTTTGAAATTGGATTCCTTTTCATGCCTAGGATGGCCTTGAACTTACAATAATCTTTCTGCCACAGCCTCCTGGGTAATTGGGTTGTTTGCTTGCACCATGATGCCTCTAAAAACAAAAAAAATTCTTGGTATCTTTTCTTTTTTAAATAATTATTTTTTTATTATTTCAAAATATATGTAAGGAGTGTATGTGTACATATATGCATATGCATGTGAGTGTAGGTGCCCTTGAAGGCCAGTGGCATTGGATCTCATGGAACTGGAATTTTATAGGCAGTTGTGAACTGCCTAATGTGAGTGTTAGGAACTGAATTTGGGTCCTCTGAAAGGGCAAACAAGTGTTCTTAACTCTAGAGCCATCTTTCCAGCCCTCATTTAAAAATACTTATTTAATGTTTTTATATTTCATATTACAGTATAATTATATTGCTTATCCCCTCCCCTTTCTTCCCTCTACTCCCTCCCATGTTCCTGCTCCCAACTCCCCCACATGTCCCCAGACTCTCTAATTGATAGCCTCTTTCCACCATCAATGATACACACACACACACACACACACACACACACACACACACACACACACACATGCATACATTTACATATATACACATACATGGACATGTATATAAATACAACCTGAGAAATCCATTTTTCATGTCTGTGTACCTGTTTTCAGGGCTGACCATTTTGTATTGGACAGGCAATCAGTGAGCTCATCCCCAGGAAGAGGCTAATTCTCCCTTTCAGCCTTACCACCAGTTCTTTGTTTGTGGTGGAACCCTGTGAGATGACTCAGCCCTAACAGGCTTGAGGGCCAGCCAGCCCAAACCAGTAATAAGATACTTTCTGAGAGTCAACCTGGGTCTGACTAAGGGCCTTAGCAACAGCAGCTGAGACATGATCTGGAGATGACCTGGACCAATGAGAGGCAGCCATGTCACACCAGCAGATGCATATTTATCAGACCTTCTGCTGGGGCTGGGTGGAGGGTATATAAAGCTTGCCTCTTCTTGAATAAACTAAGCTTGTTGTTTCAACATCCTCCCAGAGTCTGTCATTGACTCTGTGCCTACTTGCCCCCCCCAAAGGGAACAACAGCACAGGACCCTGCTATAGGACCCCATGATAATTTACCCTTCTGACTTAGTATGCCTATTGATATTGATATTGCCCAATGGCTTCTTTCAAAGACATGTCTCACCATGTCGCCCATGCTAGTTTTGAACTCTTGCGCTGAAACCATCCTTCTACCTTTGCCTCCTGGTTCCCTGAGTCTACATCATGTTCCACCATGCATCATTTGGAATTTCAATACTAAATGAATTGGGAATATGCCACACTTTGCCATTTCTACTTATCTTCACAATACTGGATTCCCTGAGTCATTGATTTCCATAATGTTTATCAACTACAAGAATGCAACAATTGATAAGTGTCTTTTATTTCATTCTTAAAGGTGTAAAGAACTTCAGAAAAGAGGGAATATAGTGGAAAAGAAGCAGAGAGTACTCTTATATTTTTCCACAAAATGGAACTAAAACAACATTGACTGGCTATTAACAGGGATAGCTACAGGTAAGCACTGAGATTCAACAAGAAAGCCTGGTGCAACCTAGAGATTTTACATAGTGAAATGGTCATTAAAAAGAGCACCTATGCCGGGCGGTGGTGGCGCACGCCTTTAATCCCAGCACTCGGGAGGCAGAGCCAGGCGGATCTCTGTGAGTTCGAGGCCAGCCTGGGCTACCACGTGAGTCCCAGGAAAGGCGCAAAGCTACACAGAGAAACCCTGTCTCGAAAAACCAAAAAAAAAAAAAAAAAGAGCACCTACAACCAATATTATGACAATATTGATGCAGGAGTGGGTTATGGTGGAGAGAAGAGATAGATGATAGATAGATAGATAGGTAGATAGATAGATAGATGATGATGATAGATAGATAGATAGATAGATAGATAGATAGATAGATAGATAGATAGATGATAGCAAGAGTGAGGCTCTATTGGAGTAGAAACTAACCCCTTTCAGACTACAGTCTCAAAAGACAAGACACCTGAGACTTGTCAATCAGGGTCATTTAGAGGAAGAGACCTGTGTTACTCAGCAGATTCTCAGTGTAAACTACTGGGAGCTGGCTGAGAAAGGCCTTATTATCTGAGATTCTCAGAAACATCTGCCTTTTCTTATTTCTGGAATTTTCAGTGGGTGGTCACTCATGTGACAATCTTGGTTCTGAGGCATACCTCTGACATAAACCTGCTAAGAGTTCTGTACTGTGGGGAATTCAGACTTACAGAATAAGGTGAAAAGTGCTTCCCTTGAAAAATGGGTGAAACTTCTCTGAGTGTGGGGGAGTATAGGACTACCTATGTTTTAAGTTATGAGCCAAGTGTGAGGGTTCTAGGAATGAGGTTTGCAGATCAAGCTTGTTCTTCTTTCCTCTACCAGCACAGAACTTTGAAGATCTGTCACCCTTTACCCATATTCAGAGTATTTGGAGACACACTTCCTAGGGGAACATTTGCTCTGACTCCAGGGTGGTGAAAAATTTGGAAATAATCTTTGTCTGGCTCATTTCAAACTTCCCACCATCTCCTTCCAGTATGTAAAGAAGCATAGAGGAATTTCAACTACTTTCAGGTTCAAATCACTTCAATAATCACCTTTTGTGTATCCAAACCTAAAAGAGACAATGTGTGAATATGAGTGTGAAATGGCCTAGCCATTCCATGTGTGTTGCACATCACCTCAGAAGACACAGAAGGGAGCACTAGAGATCATAGGCTGCAGTCCTCTAAGCCCTGTGATAACATTCAAAAAGCACCAGTACAAAAGAAATTTATTTGCTATTAAAATTATTTTTAAAACAGTTCTCATTATGTAGCTCTGGCTGTCCTGGAACACGTTATGTAGAACAGGCAGGTTGTAACCTCACAGAGATTGGCCTGCCTCTGCCTCCTAAGTGCAGAAGATGTGCATCAGTACACTTTGTTTTACATTTTTTCTTATTAATAAATGCCTTGGGCTATGGAGATGGTTCACAATGTAAAGTTTTTGCAGTGTAAATGTGAGAATCTGAGTTCAGATGCCCAGGGTCCTCATAAAAAAGGACTGTTTAATTAGAAGTAGAGAATATCTCCATAAAACACACACTTACCTGTCTCATTGGAAATCTCATTCTCTGGGCATGGAATACAATCAAAACAACAAGCCACATTTCCTTCTGGGAGGGATTTTCTGAATCCAGGAACACAACTTTCACTGCATACAGACTTGGGGGGAGTCTGAGGAAAATCAGATGTGAGCAAGTGGTAATTCAGAATTTTGCTTACTACTATAGTAAGCACATTGTTCATAGAACTGGATCATAAATGAACATAGTTTTTGTATCCATAAATGATCAACTGATTGGATGTTGCTATAGCTTGGACATCACGTGCCCTCTTAATGGTGATAACCTTCATCCTATGGTGGTAATGGGACATGTTGAAGCCTTTAAGTGAAGAGATCTTGGGGTTGGAGAAATGGATCAACATTAATAGCATGGACTGATCTTGCAGAGGTCCTGAATTTGGTTCCCAGAACCCACATTACATGGCTCAAAACCACCTGTAACTCCAGCTTCACAAGATCCAACAGCTTCTTTTGGCCTTCACAAACACTTGCACTCACCATGCAGATAAGATATTCCCTTCCCCCACATGCATATAAATAATGAAAAATAAAAACAAATTTTTTTAAAAGGTGAGGAAGTTAGTGATTGGAAGCTTGCCATTGGAAGGTGTATTGGGACAATGGACTAATCCTTCCTCTAGTTTTGCTACCTGGCTGCCATGAGATGAGTGGCTTCTATTGCCACAAACCACATCATAGTGACTTATCATAGGCTCAAAAGTAACAGCTAAGTGGGTCTCAGAAACCACTAAACTCAACCTAAAGATATGTCAGTAATGAAAACCCACAACAGATGGTGTACATATTTTGATATGAAATGTGTGAACATTTAGAGGCATATTGCTAAATGAACATGCTCTAGTGACATATAGTACATAAGAAAATTCTCTTCCTTAAATTGGAAGTATAAAATTTAAAAAGCACATTCATGGTTCAAGGGATTGCTGGGTATGATGATGGATTAAAAGCTGCTGCTGCGAGATTCAATGAAAGACAGGAGTCACAATAAAAACCAAATAGATTCTACTTTTAGTAGAGAAAGAATTGAAGGAAAAATAAATAAGCCTATATGGAACTTTTCCTATATGGAAAAGACTTTTGTTTCCAAAGGAACAGCCAAGCTAGCACTATTTCACCATCTTGCTTGCACCAGGTCAAGGACAAAAGTAGCAGCAACGAGGCATTGTTGGACATGGACACTAGAAAAACATGCTAACCCAGGGGACAGAGATGCAAGCAGTGGGTGGATTGATGCCTGGAGCAAAACTGGGTGAGCAGATGGAAGCTGACATGAAGCAGAGGAGCTTGGAGCTGAAATTCTCCTTGGTATACTGGGGACAATTGCCTGAGCAGAAAACACCCCTGTTCCTGCCTTGGTGAACTACTGTGAACTATGTTCTCTACTATCATTCATGTACCTAAACAATGCATTATGCTTCTCATTCATACTTTACTCCCTCTTTTCTCTTTTTCCCAATTCTGTCCTCATTTTACTATTTAAGTAATTATGGACAACGTTAGCACTAAAAACCCATGAAGTTTATTTTCTCCAATCAGTACTCAAGTGATGCTATCTCTGAACCATGCTATCTCTCATGAAACAAGGAAAGTAAAGGAGTGTCTTCTACTCCAAGCTAACATCAATATTTCTGTCAAGTCATTGTGTTTGTTATTGTAATTGACCCCCCCATAAAGATGTTAGGACATCCTATACTCAAGGATTGGTAGAATTAATCTTGTAGAAATGACCATTCTACCAAAAACTATTTACAGATTCAAAGAAATACCAATTAAAATCCCTATTTCACTCTTTACAAAAATAGGACTAAAATAAATTTTATTTGGGTCCACAAAAACAACATATAATATTTTATGTATTTACATTATTTTTAATACACCAGTTATATTTTTTAAATTTATATAGAAAACTTTAAAATTTCAGTATACCAAAAAAATCATAAATCTGTCAGGCAAAATAAAAAATTAAGAAAAGTATGTAATATAATATAAAACATTAAAAAAACTTTTTCTTACTAAATATTTTGACCATGCATCTTTCTTCCTAAAATTCCTCTCAAATCTCCCCCAACTCCCCTTTAATCCCAGGACTTGAGATCTCATGTCTTTGCTTGGGAAGTACACATATCTTTAATCCCAGGAAGTAATACAGCAGGTCATAGAAAGGTATAGACAGTGTGAGGAAACAGGAACTCACTCTCTTTCATCTGAGGATTTCGTCAAGGTAAGAACTAGTGGCTGGTTGTTCTGCTTCTCTGATCTTTTGGCTTTCACCCTGATATCTGGCTCTGGGTTTTTTATTATAAGACCATCTAAGATTCAAACAAATCTGGCATCCAACTCCATGCCCTTTCTTTCTCTCTGCTTAAGAAACAAGCAAACAAAACTGAAAACAAACAAAAAGCCTCCAAAATACACACACATAAAGCAAAAGACCAATAAGACAAAAAAAATGCCCAAAGAAATATAACATAAAATTTCTACAAAAATAACACTGAATTTCTTGAGTATGGAGCCTGCTCTGAAGTGAGACTTCATTGCAAGAAATTACTATTTCCTTTGCAAGAGGGTGTACATTGCAGATAGGAGATCCCGAGCAAGATTTGTTTTATTATGTGTAGTTCATAGTGTTACAATTATATCTAACTCACCTCTGTAATTCCTGTGGCCCATTCTATCATATCCTCAGATAAAGATAATTGTTCATCAAGTGGACCATATGGGGAAAATTTTCCAACTTTCACCTTGAGTCCAAGACCTTCTGGAAAGTTCCAGTAGTTGAGAATGTCATACTCTGCATTCAATTTCATTTTCTCATCCAAATTCACTTGTTCTCCAGCAGGATTAGTAAACTGCATGTTCTTCAGAAAAAGGTGCAGCTAAAAAAGATATATTATCTTATGAAGTTGGTACTAGTGTGAAGACAAATAACCCAAGTGTTCGGGCAAGTCTTGTGGTGATATATTGTGCACCGTAATAAACTTGCCTGAGTATGAGAGGACAGAGACAGTCACTAAATTAGACATAGAGGTCAGACAGTGGTGGCACACACCTTTAATCCTATCAATTGGGAGGCAGAGATCCAGATGGATCTCTGTGAGTTCAAGGCCACACTGAGCTACATGGGATTGATCCAGTATAGGAAACAGAGCCAGGCAGTGGTGACACATGCCTTTAATCCCAGCACTTGAGATCTCATGCCTTTGTTTGGGAAGCACACATGCCTTTAATCCCAGGAAGTAATATGGCAGGGCAGAGAAATGTATAGAAGGAGTGAGGAAACAGGAACTCACTATCTTTAGCCTGAGGATTTCATAGTGATAAGAACTAGTGGCTGGCTGTTCTGCTTCTCTGATATTTCAGCTCTCACCTTGATATCCGGTTCTGGGTTTTTTATTATATGACCATCTAAGATTTGAACAACATCTGGCATCCAACTTGTGGGGCATGGATTCATGAAAAAGCTACTTGCCTGTGGCCTTGCAGGTCCTGGCTCAGGCCTGAGTTGCATGTGGCCAGAGTCTCCACACCATGTGGGCTGGAATCCCTAACCAAGTGGCTATGTTTTTGTTGTAACCTCTCAGCAGTGAATGCCATAGATTTTTTGGGTTCCAAAAACCATACGAGTTAGGCACTTTCTTGTATTCCCTTGTGCAGATGGCTGGCTCTTTGGCTTTTTCTCTCCTGATGGGTTGTGGGTTCTCCCTGGGTCCCCATCTTTTGCTGCTACCATACTAGGTAGCTGCCTGGAAACCCACTCAGGCTTCTACTATTATGCAGAAGCAGTCAGTCTGACATCTGAATCCTCATTGTCAGCAGGTTTGGTGAGACAACTGGGATTTCTTAAAGAGAGAAATTAGTTAAAAAAAGAGAACCCCACCCCATTAAAAATGGGAAACATTTTTACAGTGGAGGGAATTTGGTCTCTGTGTGATAATCTGAAAATGGAACAGTTAAATGAGAGGATAATTAATGTGGATGGGATTTAGGTAAAGCCAATTATAAATGTTATTTGTTTGATCATTTCTGTTTTATCATTTAAAAAGTTAGTTAAGCCAGGTGGTGGTGGCACACGCCTTTAATCCCAGCACTTGGGAGGCAGAGCCAGGTGGATCTCTGTGAGTTCGAGGCCAGCCTGGGCTACCAAGTGAGTTCCAGGAAAGGTGCAAAGCTACACAGAGAAACCCTGTCTCAAAAAAACAAAAAAAGGTTGGTTAATGTGAGTGCCAAGATAAAAATTTTAGAAAAACTTGTTAAAAGAAATCATAGAGAAATTCAGACCCAGACAGAGGAATTTAAAGGTAAACCTATCTCATCATTGCATTATACAGTTATAGAGAAACAGCCTAAGGCTTTCAAGCAGCCAACCTTAATATATCCAGTAACCTTACAGGAACTACAAAATGCTGAAGACTGTGTAAGAGCTGACTGGACACCTGTGCAAATGTTATATTTGAGAAGATTCAAAGAAGCTATAGTGTCATATGGTATGCATTTCTCATTTGTGAAGCAGATGTTAAATATTCCCTTGAGACTGGAGAGATTTAGTTACAGCTTTCTTAGAAACTGGTATCCAATTACAGTGGAGGACCTGGTGGAAGGATGAGGCTAAGACCATTAAACAAAGAAGTAGGGCTAGAGGTATGGAAATCTCCCAAGGTTAACTTCTTGGAGATGGAGCATAGCTAGAGTTTTCCTGCCTTGCCCACAGTCAGGACAAATCTCTGTCACCTGCCAGTCCCACAGCCGCTCAGACCCAACCAAGTAAACACAGAGACTTATATTGCTTACAAACTGTATGGCCATGGCAGGCTTCTTGCTAACTGTTCTTACAGCTTAAATTAATCCATTTCTATAAACCTATACCTTGCCACGTGGCTCGTGGTTTACCGGCATCTTCACATGCTGCTTGTCATGGCGGCGGCTGGCAGTGTCTCCTCCCACCTTCCTGTTCTCTCAATTTTCCTCTGTTAGTCCCACCTATACTTCCTGCCTGGCCACTGGCCAATCAGTGTTTCATTTATTGACCAATCAGAACATTTGACATACAGACCATCCCATAGCACTTCCCCTTTTCTTTTATTTTTTTTTAAAAAGGAAGGTTTTAACTTTTACACATCTCCAAAGCCAGCTTGGTATATTTGGGAATTTGGGCATAGCTTCTCTTACTACTTCCTGCTGGAGGGGACGCTGTATCTTATGGGGACACAAAGAAAATTTTAGGATTATGGAGTAGTCCGTGAGGGTGTATTGTCTGAGCCAGTTGCCTTGAATCCGATCTGGATGTTGGATTATCTGGGCCATGGTGTCATCAGAGACCTTTCAGGAGGTCTTGGCTGGTCAAACCTAATGTATCTTAATCTGGAACAAATCCATAGCCTCTGGCTTTCTGTGGAAACAAAAGCAGAGCCTCCTTTCCAAAGCAACATATCCTTACATCCACATTTTGAAGTCAAGGTAACTTTAAAATATACATTTTGGCATAATTTAACAGCTTTTACAATCAAATGTTTTTCTTCAGTTATGAATATCAAAGAGAACATAATCCAGATTCTCTGTGTGGTAGCCATCTTTACATGGCTTATTTTTTATGTTACCTTGAGCCTATTGCTTTAAACTGCAGCATTCTGAGACTGAAATGGTGCTGTGGCTGCTGGCTCCACCCACTTCAGCTTCCCAACATGGCAGTGGTATGTTTTCCACCAGCTCTGGGAGCCATCAACTCTCAGAAATAGTGAGTCTATGCTTCTATCAAAGCAGCAAGTAGCCCAGAAACCGCTTTTTGTTTTGTACAAGCAAAGGCTAAATCCACCACACAGCTTAATGTGCCACTTGCAGAGGCCTCATTCCCACCATACTGTAGGTCGAGCATGCACGACAGGAACCCGCCATAGTAGCTCAAAAACGTAGGCTGCCGCTAACTTGAGAGAGACAACTAGGAACTGCTTTTAGCTCCATTTTAGAATCTTTTTTCTCAGGTTTTAGGTGGAAGCTCTTGCCAACACATTGGCGCCATTTGTAGCTAGTTTTCCTGCCTTGCCCACAGTCAGGACAAATCTCTGTCACCTGCCAGTCCTACAGCTGCTCAGACCCAACCAAGTAAACACAGAGACTTATATTGCTTACAAACTGTATGGCCGTGGCAGGCTTCTTGCTAACTGTTCTTACAGCTTAAATTAATCCATTTCTATAAATCTATACCTTGCCATGTGGCTCATGGCTTACTGGCATCTTCACATGCTGCTTGTCATGGCGGTGGCTGGCAGTGTCTCCTCCCACCTTCCTGTTCTCTCAATTCTCCTCTCTGTTAGTGCCACCTATACTTCCTGCCTGGCCACTGGCCAATCAGTGTTTTATTTATTGACCAATCAGAACATTTGACATACAGACCATCCCACAGCAATGGAGATTATAGTAATGTAGATAGGTAGTCTCTTCTCGATGACCACTCCCTGGCTTTATGCTGAATGGCAGCCTTGAATGCTTGGGACAGAATTGAAGAAGTAGAAAAGAAAATTGAGTCATATACAAAGTTATGCAGGACCCATAAGTAACCATCAATGATTTCTTACAAAGGCTGTCTTCATCAGTAAATAACATGATACCAAATTCAGAAGCTAGACAGATAATAATTCAAATTCTGGCTTTTGAAAATTCTAATGCACAATGCAAAAAGGTAATTAGGTCATTAAAGGCAAGATCAGAACCCTTGGAGGAATACATATGAGATACAATGAATAATGAATCTCATGGCCATAATGATACTTGGATAGGAGATGTGATTTCCAGAGGTTTGAAAGAAAAGCGTCATGTCACATGATTCAACTGTGATAAACAAGGTCACCTAAAAAGTGACCATGAACAGGATATTCCTAGAAACAATTTTTTTTCAAATAATAATGGCAACAGAACACCCCTCCCTTCTGGATTATACAAAATTTGTGGCAAAGGTAAACATTGGACTAATTAATGTAGATCAACAAGGGACAGACAAGGTAATCCTTTGCCTTTCCATTGGGACTTTCTGAGGTGCCTCTTATAGGCCCCCATGACAAATTTGGTTCAGTCCTTTTCTGCCATCATGGAGGAAACCCCTTCCCAGAGCAATTAAAGAACTTAAGTCCTGTTGTAAAAAAACAAAAACAAACAAACAAAAACCATACTGCTCTGGGTGACAGAACAGATATAGGAGAGAGAACAAAATATTTGGGAGAAACCATAAGAGAATTTTTTGGCAAACTTCTATGAATAAACAAAGACCAAAGCTAAAAATATGAGTAAATGATGATCCCAATGAAGGTCTTATAGACACAGGTGCGGATGTAACAATAATTGTACCAGAATCTTGGCTTCCAAATTGGCCTCTTCAGGAGGTAAATGTTCAGCTTTTAGGGACTGGAACATTATCTCAATTAAAGCAGAGCCTGAGATGGGTCAAATGTATAGGGTCAGAAGGACAGAGAGGAAAATTAAAGCCATATGTGGCTAATATAGCTATGAGTCTATGGAGACGTGATATATTGCAACAATGGAATGCCCAGATTAACACTCCTCCAATCTGAGAAACAAACCATAAACTAACATATGTTTCTGGGATAAATGTTAGAGGGTATTATAAAGAACAGTCACGAACCATCCAGATTGTACAAGAACAGGGCACAACATCTGCTGATCTTTCAAAGTCACCATAGCCCTACTTTTAAAATGGTTAACAAACAAGCCTTTATGGGTTCATCAGTGGCCTTTACACCAGAGAAACTCCAGTCTTTAGAAGAGCTGATACAAGAGTAGTTAAATGCTCAGCATGTTGAAGAATCAACCAACCCTTGTAATTCTCTTTTATTTGTTATTTAAAAAGAAATCTGGTAAGTGGAGAATG